TCCCCTTTCTTAAGTGTCAACTTTCAAATGCAATAATTTGTTTTCATATGCACCTTATTAATATTTATCAAGCTTTTTCTAGATACTCTACATGCAGTCTCAGCTACTGCAGTACAAGTGTATGTCTCCCCCATACCCTCCCACTCAAAACCCATGTGAAGCTATTTCTCTCATTAAATGAGCGTGACGTTGTTAAAAAGACCAAAGAAAGACTCTGACCAAGCAAATGCTTATTCTGGATTTCACTTCTGAATTCTGGATTTCGCTATATTTAGTAAAGCTATAACTATCATTATGCCCGAAGCCAGGAAGAAAACACCATTCACAAACCACCCCCTGAAAATCTGCAGTTGCCACCAAAAAAACCAGACTTCCCAGCAAGGCAAAGCCATCTGAAGTGGGAAAGATTAAACTGGTGTTTGCGTCACAAGAAGGCCTCAGGTGCTTCTAACTAACCTCTCTGCCTGGTGCTGAAGCTCTCCAGAACTTTATTTCCTTTTCTTCTCTCTCCAACATACCTTCTGCTCTGGTCAAACATCATCATTTTCTCCCGACAACTCCTTCCTGAAACAGTGGTCATCTCACTCCCCGACCTGCTTCTGTTTCAACCTTCTACTTCTCTTTGAACCTTCAGGACCACTCCTTGCCCCACAATTAGGTGAGGCTCAGAGGAGAGCAGTTCATACTATATACCTATTCAATAGTTACTCAAAAGACCCCAGGCCTCTGGAGAAAGCAAGCTGCAAGCACAGCCAGAGAATTATTAAAAAAATAAATAAATAAAAATAAAAAAGTTTCTACCATTCCATGTTCTTCTTCCCTTGATTCTGGAAGGGAAACTTGTGCTGACCAAAATTATAATACTAGTCAGTATCCCAGGAAATCATATCATTTCACCATTCCACACTTTTGCCTATGCTATTCTCTCTGCTTGCAAGACCTCATGCAATCCTCATCTGGAATATCTGCTGGACAATTTCCACGTTCAAATCGCACTCACCTATAAATCCTCAACTCCGAGCCATTTCTCTTTATCACCTCTTAACATCTTTTTGTGCCCTAACATCCACCAAGGGCCATGCTAAAGGCTAGACGCTTACCTTAGGGTTGTTGGTCTATGAGCTCCGTAAGAGCTGAGCCTAAGTCTCATTCATCATGTAGCTCTGGAATCTAATACAGTGCCTGCCACAAAGAAGGCACTAAGGAACATATACTAAATGAATACATGCATGCAATATATTGATACTGCCAACAAGTTATAATTATATGCCATGTATGTATGCTTGATTCTCTTTAGGTGGTTTCACATACATTTTAAAACCTCACTACCCTGTGCTGTAGGTAGGAGAAATTGTCAAAATTAACTGATTTGGAGACTTATTCAGTAATTCTCATTAGCCTAAACCTGGATTCCTTTAATGTAGGTGAGAAACTGTTTTTGAAGAACCACCGTGGCCACCTTATATAGAACTAAAGCAGTTCTGGAATGTTATTGTGGACACAGGAGGTAGTCAACAAACATTTATTTATGGTTTAAAGCTTAGATATAAGGCCTCACATAGCTAAGGGGTGTGGATAAAAGCAGTTTTTCATTTCTTCTTTAAGCATTGTTCCAATTTCCCCATTGAGCTCATTCTGGAAACTTAAACGATATATTCCCTTGACATCACATGCCCATTACATCAGTCATGATCTCACATCTCGTTGTAGCATCTTTGCTGAGGAAGCTAGAAAGAAATATCCTCCCCAGCACCCAGCCTAGAGTTAACCAAATCTCTCTGAACTCATGAAGTAAAGCCTTCATTTCCCAAGATAAATAAGCCCCCACTAGAGGAGCGGGCTGATGCTGTTGATGGACGTGGCAGGCCAGGCATTCTCCTGTCTTCCTCCAACACATCTTCCCCGGGTGCTTGCAATTCCATACTTTAAGGCATAGACCAGTGCCCACCCACATTAAGGGGAAAGGGATGTGGTGGTAATAAGCCCCTGAACTTCCTGGCCACTGCCCTAGAAACTTGATTGCACAACTCTCATCAACCTCCAATTCTGGCTGGGCTGGAGTCCAGGTCAGCACTTGATATCTCAAACAGAAGAGGGTCCAGGAAGGAGTATGGCTACCCAAAAAATCTGTTGACCCTTTAAGGAGCTGGTGAGACTTCTGCAAAGAACATCTGGTTCTGTACAACCACAATGGGGGGTGGGGGGTAATTCCTGAAGGTTGCTGTAACCAAACTAGCCTTCACATTGCCACCCCCAACCCCCTTTAATTATATATATATATATATATACATATATATATATATATATATGTGTGTGTGTGTGTGTGTGTGTGTGTATACACACACACACACACACACACACACATTATGATGATGCAATGTTGCTGGTAAATAGAGGCTACCATATTGAACACCTGGGGGAAAAAGTTAAATAATTTACATACAATGCCTCATATAATCTTTAAGATCACTCCATAGGACAGTGGTTATCAAACTTTAGCCTCAATCAGAATCACTGCAAGAACTTGTTAAAGCCCTACACTCATGGCTTATGGAGTGGGCCTGAGAATTTGCATTTCTTATAAGCTCCCAGGTAATGCTAATGCTCCTGATCCAGGCTTCATGCTTTAAGAACTGCCCATAGGAAAACAGAGATTCAAGAGAGGTTTAAAATGTCTTATCTAAGGTTTCACAACTAGTAAAGAACAAATCCAGAATTTGAATCTAGATATGCCTGACTCTACAGTGCTGGTAACCATACTATGGTATGTGTGAATGTTTGTCTTGTGTTCCCAAATTCACTGGCAGCTCCTTAAAAACACACATTAGATCTTCTTATATCCATACTCTCAGAATCTACTGTGTCTTTGTACGTGGTAGGTGCTACACAAATACTTTGTATACTGGCTCCTAGAGCCACAAATTCAAACTCAATTTTAGTGAAAGAACATAAAAGAGGGCAGCACTGCCAGACCTGGTTTTACATGAGACACTCTCTCTCTTGTCACTCTGAGTCTTTGTCCATGATGTCACCACACCTGGATAACTCCTACTCATTTTTCAGTCTGTTACTTCCTGCAGAAAGCAACTCTTGGTTTCCTATATTGGAGGCCACCCTAAGTTTAACTCCATTCTAACTGGTTATTTCCATCTCTCAAAGCTGGGGTTTATAAACTCCAGCATCTAGTTCTATATCATATCCCAGACCCTGGCACATCATAGACACTCAACTGTTTGCCGAATGAACGAATGAACGAATGAATGCAGAACTGCAAGCCCTAAGTTCCACTTTAAAATATAATGCATGATGTGCAGTTCTCAGGGTTGAATTCTGGAGCGGGGAGGGCAGCCTTGACAATAAAGACCAATTTTTCCTTTTCTCTTTCCCATCACCCAGAATCTGAGAACAGGCACTGCTTAGGGTAGCAATATGGGAACTGAACAAAATGCTCCTGGGTCAGCAGAGGCCATTCTGAGAGAAGGAAAGAGCTCTGCACCCCATCATTCCTCCCCATTTGTCTCTCCCATACTCCTCTCCATCCCACTGCAGTCAAGGGCTTTGGCCCGGGGATGAAAGAGACAGATGAGACCGAAGGGTGCAGATCTGGCAGCGGGCACAGAAGCATCTCCCATCCTGCACCAAAGCTCACAAGGAAAGATCCAGAGGGACAGTGACTCAGGCCCCAGATTAAAGACAGCTAGAGCAGCAATGAAAATGGAAAAGAACAATTTCACACACAAAAAAAACGTTGTCAGCCTTTTTTTAAATGGTGTTTCAAAGTAAGGCTTCAACCCTAACCCCAGAAAACTGGGTCCAGCTGAGTCCACTGCTTAGATAAGCTGAGAGCCAAACACAGCTTCTTCCTCCTCCAAACCCACCCGCCTGCAACACTCACCATGACAGGCATTTCCCAGGGCCAGGTTGGAACTCTTGCTTCAAGCTTAGCTTGCAAAAAGGCTCCTTCCCCAGTTAAACGGGTCCCCCACCACCACCATGTTGCAGTCAGAGAGGCCTCCCCCATCCCCCATCCCTTCTCAGCAGATAACACAACCTACAGCAGGTTGGCCCCATCCAATTAGTTTGAATAGCTGTGTGCCAAGGAAATTGCTGCTTTTATTAAAAATAAAAGCACAGTAGGCAGGCAATGGGCTGTAAAGAGTATGAGTCTGGCATAATTATGAAGGTCGAGGTTAAGGTTACCAAAAGAGATATACAAAGATTTCCAGAGGCCTGGGGAATAAAGATGTAGATTTAGATATAGATACGGAATTTACACAGCAAACACAGCAGCTTTAAATACCATCTTCAATAGAGGAAAAGCAAAAATAAGATGTCACTCACAAATAATTCTTTTGGTATACAAAAAAAAATTTTTTAACCTAAAACTGAAGGAAGAGGGGCCTTACTGACTGGTCTCAAAATAACTACATTCATTTCAAGTAATTTCTGTTATCTTACCTACATCCTGGGGACCAGATTACAGTTGGGTCAGGAAACCTTGTCAAAACCACCAAGAGCCTTAGCTCATGGCAGTGAGAAAGTTGGGGAGAAGAAAGAGAAGGAGAAAACCCTCTTTTCAGCCCTCACATCAATTATTTCAAGTTTTAGCAGGATGACAAGACCACCACCTCCATCGTATGCGAAGCTTCCCACTTTCACACGTAGGTCTTCTCGTCTGATCCTCATTAATTCAGTGAGACAAACAAGGCTTGGTGTGTCAATGTTTTTTTTAAAAAAATAAATAAATAAACGAAAAGGCCCACTGAGGTAAACAATGTCCGGCAACCTCCCCCCGCCCCATAAACCCTGTCACTCTCCAATCTCAGTTTTCAATTTCTCAAGGGCAATGATTCACAGGGCAAGGGAATGAGAAAGGGAGGGTCAACCAACCGGTGAAAAAAAAATACAAAACCCATTCATACAGGGGCAACAACTAAGAAAACAGCATCTTGCTGCATCAGCGCAAGATTTTCATGTAGGCGCCCTCGGTCCCACCGTACCTTCCGCCAGCACCTCGTCCACCGTGACCTGCTGCCGCCCGATGCCAAAGACCCTTCCGATGTAGCCGCTGCCCAGGCCCGAGGTGCTGCCCCCTCCTCCGCTGGAGCCGGAGCCCAGGCCAGAGCCGCCCTGCTCTCGCCGGGAGTCGAAAAACTTCTTCATCTTGCGGATAGGAAAGCAGTAAAACAAAACACCGACAGCTTCTAGGGTCTTTTTTTTTTTTTTTTTTTTCGTTTTCTTTTTCTTTTTTTAAGAAAACAAGAGATCCAAGGATTTCTTCTCGGATTTCAGCTCGGAGAGGGAGCCACCCGAATCCGGCCGTGGGGGTGGGGGCGGAGGGAGGATGCCTATAGGAATATGCGTGTCAATCGCGCGGCGGCCCGTCCCCTCCTCCTCTAGAGAAGGATTCGTATAAGTTTAAACCTGTGATGACAGAGGGAGAGAGAGGAGAGAGAGAGGATGAATCAGGTACACACACTTAAACACACTCAACTCCTGAGTCCTAGGGGCAGCCAAAGCCATCATCCTGGGCAGACCAGGGGAGACGCTCCATGGATTTTCTAAACGAGAAAAAACGCTGGGGCTGAAAAAGCGTCCCCAAACCCCCAACCCCCCCAAGCCAGAGACCCTGTGCCCAGGGGTCGGAAAAAAAGAAGGAATTCGGGCCGCCGACTCAGCCGGGCACTGCCCACCCCCGCCCCCCGGCTCCCCGGTCTCTCCCCGCCGCCCCGCGAGGCAGCATCCCGGCGGCACCCACTTGAGATGGCTCGACGGCGGGCTCCCAGCTACCAGCCCCGCAACATTGTCACGGCGCCGCGGGGCGGCCTGCGTCGGCGAAAGGAGGCGGCGCTGCAGCGAGAGCCGGGGCCGCGTCGGGCACCCGCCCGCCCACCAGCTGATCCCCGGAGCGCCCGGCGGAGACTGACCCGCCGCCCCTCCCCCGCGCGCGCTCCCGCCCGGCTCCAGCCGCCCAACCAGGAAGTGAACCGCCGCCGGAAGTGCCTCTCGCAGCGGCGCGGCGGCGCGGCCACCGGTCAAGGGCCCTCTGGAGGCCGCCGCTCTGTCGCGATAGGCGGGGAAGGGGTCGTCAGAAAGAAAGGGAGAAAAGAAAACGGGGGGTCTCAGAGCAGAGAAAGTTTTTAGGAAAGAACGCCGATATCCCCCCACCAACCCCTTGAGCCGCAGAGCACCATGGGAAATGTAGTTCGGCGCAGCCCCGCGGCTGGACTACAATTCCCAGGATGCCCTGGAGGAGCCAGCGAGGCGGTGGCGGTGGCCTCCTCCGCCGGCCTCAAAGGTGGTTAGCGGGGTGGTGCATTCGTGGGGATTCGGTTATTTAAACACACATCCGGTAAAGGGGCTGCCAGGGACTAAGTGTTTCCACCCTGCTGCGTGGCCCACCCTTCTGGAGCCATCTTATTTGCGGCTTGACCTTCCTGCACCAGGGACTCCGGGGTTTGTGTGGTTTGCAAACAGATCGAGGCTGACACTTGAAGGACGCGGCTTAACCGCTGACCCTCCAGGCGGTCCTGCGGGGCTTCCCGACGTCACCGGGGCGGAAGGTGGAAGACGGAGTGTGATCGGGGGGAAAAAAGAATTTGCTGGCAGTTAGTACCAGGGCCACACCCTAAATTAAATAAAACCAGTATCCTTCCGTCCCCAACCTCAACAGCCGATTTGGCTCCCAGATGTTACTGAGAACCGGCTCGGCGGTCAACTCTGAGCTGGGCGCTGTGACAACGCCTAATGCAGTGTCCCGTTTGAGGATCTGCAGGCGAGACTCAAACCGAGGAACTTGAAGGGTGTGTGTAGGACAGATCCTAGGGTACCAGGAGATCCGACCCCAAACTTGGGCTCGTCTAGCCGATGTTGACCCTTAATTCTTCCACCCTTGCTGATGCTAACCCCTTTCCACACAAGAACCCCAGGCTGACCTGTTATCTCTCTCTCTCTCTTTCTCTCTCTCTCTCTCCTTGGTGCTTATTTTACCCTAATTTCGTCTGAGTGCCGAGGATGGGGTGTACAATGTGATTTGCGTCTATCAAATGCATAAGATTTGCAAGGCCGGTCGGTAGTTGTCTCCATCCCTGGATTTCCTGATAGATGATGTCAAATCCTTGCTCCCCCTTTTTTATCCCCCCCACCCTCGCAAAAAAAAAAAAAAAAAAAAATCCATGATTTTTCGAACCCCTGAATATAGGTTATTTCTCATTTCTGCCCGCACTCCCCATCCTAATCTTGCGACAATCCTATTAGCTTGTAGTTCGTCCCAGATTTTTTTTTCAGCAAACATTTGAGAAGCGTGGAGAAGGGCGCTCCAGGAAAAAAAAAAAAAAAAAAAAAAAAAAAAATGGTGCTTGCTTTTTCTAATCTGAATATTGAACTGAGCTGTGACTGGGCTAGCAACGATGTTGCTGCTGCTGCTTCTCCTTCCTCCCCCTCTTTTTCTCCTTCTCCCTCTTATCCTTTTCCTCCTCCTTGTTACAAGTAGTGCCATTGAGGTTAAACTTCCTGTGTAAAGACAGCATCTTTTCTTCCAAAGGGTGTCAATGATGAAACCTCGGTTCACAAATTCACGCGGCCACCTCCATGGGAGAACGCAGCACCTGCTAAAACAGCCCCTCCACGCAAGCCCACGGAGGCATGTTCTCTGCACTTGCCTTAAAAGGCCAGATTTCGGCTAAGGAAATTTGGAATAGACCTTAAAATAGATGGGAGAGCTCATTTAGAATTTGATTCATTGACCTCCATTTTTCTCTGCATCTATTGATCTCGGCTGTCTTTTTTTAAAGAGGATCAGTTGGGTCCTAGAATCTGTTGCTATCTTTTTACTTTTCTAGACTTTTCTGTTACCAGACTAGGCCAGATTTACACAAATCCCAAATCTCACTTCTGAGACACAAAAACTCATTTTTATCCGGTAGGATTAAGGCAGATAACATGTATTTATGGGCACCCACCTGGATGCTTTGATCAGAATCTGAGGGCGGAGGTTATGAAAAAAGAAGATAATGTGGAATCTAATGCACCAAATAAACTGTTGAATAAAAGAGATCCAGAGACATAGAAGCATGGAACAGTGTTGAATCTCAGAAGGATGGTGGGGGTGAGTGGGTGGGGGGAAGAGATTAACTAAAGAATTTGTATGCATAATGCATAACCCATGTATATAGACAGCAGGAGGGCGGTGGCGGGCAATAAGGGGTGAACGGGACAAAAAAGGGGGACTGTAATACTTTCGACAATAAACATTTTTTAAGTAAATACATATAAACTATAGATTAAAAAAAATAGAAGACTAGCTTTTGCCTTTCATTCTCTCAGAGGCTAATAGTAATTATAATTTTTAAAAATAACACTGTTTTTTGCCGGGACCGGTTTGGCTCAGTGGATAGAGCGTCGGCCTGCGGACTAAGGGGTCCCGGGTTAGATTCCGGTCAAGGGCATGTACCTTGGTTTCGGGCACATCCCCAGTAGGGGGTGTGCGGGAGGCGGCTGGTTGATGTTTCTTTCTCATCGACGTTTCTAACTCTCTATCCCTCTCTCTTCCTCTCTGTGAAAAATCAATAAAATATATTAAAAAAATAATAATAACACTGTTTTTAATGCTTTATATAATTTAATCCTCACAACAGCCCTATGAAATAGGGTATTATTGTTATTATACTCATTTTATAGAGGGTGAACTGAAGCATAGAGATAAGTCACACAGAGAGTAACTGGCAAAGCCAGAACTCACACTCAAACATTTTGGCTTCAGAACACAGTGTTTAACTAGCTGGATAAAACTGCCCAGTTAAAAAGAGCAAACAAACTGATCGCCATATTTGAAAATAATTGGAAACATTATTTTCAGCAGCATGGGACCACGACACAGGAAACCTCTGCCACTCCCGAGCTGTGCTCCTCGCCACTGAGATCTCTGGACCTATTTTCTCAGCCATAAAACCAGAGCACTCTTTAACTCTTGGTAATTCTTTAGCTCCTGAGGACAAAATAATAACAGATCAGCCACTAAAATCTCAAAACTTCTACCACATTTACTTTCTGTATAATTTGTCCTACCCTGTTTTTCATTCCCATTCAACTGTTCATGTATCTTTATCTCCCCAACCAAGTTCCTCAAGGTCAGGCAACAGTCTTTTACTTCCCTCCTTGGATATTCAATACAGTAGTTTAAAAAGAGTGTATTCTTACCAATACTCAAGCCAAATAATTAACTTCCAATTAAATGTGACACAGAAGAGAGCAATCTGATTAAGGTGGAAAGGTTGATTTGAGGTATTCTGGGCTAAGTGAGCTTTTGAACTTGGTCTGGAAGATACTGTGGATAAATCCCAATTAAAGGAAACTGACACTATTATCTCCCACATGCCCGTTACTGTATTAGCGCTTATGTAGTTTAGTCCTCATGGATACATCTCGGTGAAGTATATACTATTATCTATCATATCCAAATAGATACTATTATTCCCAGTTTTATAGATGAACAGTAAAGGTTTTATTAGTAGCAGAGAGATGTGCATGATTTGTTAAGTTTGGAAGAAATTATTTGACCCGTGATATAGCTAAATCATGTCACAGTACGCCCTGGGCTTGCAAATGTGTGGTGCATCCTTAGGGGAATCAAAGTGAAGAGGACCACTATTAATTAAAGACCTTAATTAGGGACACACTCTGTTGGCTATTTAATCATATCATCCAGCTTTTGCAACGCACTTATGAAGTGTGTATTACTTTTATTTTGTCGATGTGGAAACGGGCTGAACAGGTTGTCAACAGAGCCTGCAAAGGTCTGAACTTTTTACTAGACTAAGCTCCCAGAACTCAGAGAAACAGTTTATTTACTAGCTTACCAATTTATTACAGAAGACTATAACTCAGTTATATACAAATCCTGACTGACCTCAAAACTCATGTCATTGTCACTGCACCAAGTAGTCTATGTTGCCCTCTGGTAGTCCAGTGGGATGTATTAGAAATGCAATTATCAGGCCCTACTCAGATCCACTGAATGGAGCAGGGGGGCTCAGGAGCAGTAATCTCCTTTCAGTATTTTCTGCATTTAGTTTCCTTACAAATACCCCTTAGCTTGCCCATCTTTCTTTGATTCTTACCTACCTGACTGCCAGCTCCCTCCTTTCCTCTCATTCGCATGTTTC